AATAATTCAATACATTTAATACTTCAATAGATAAAGATAGCAAGAAATTTGTATAAATGACGTAAGTTGGTATAATTAATGTCGGAGTAATACAAATGTAGCTAATCAGGACATACTAAGAGTATGATACAAAGTGATTGTTTTAACTCTGAACAGAAAGCAACAAAGTTTCGAGAGCTGGGCCGCAATTACTGCATAGAAAGTAAGGAGAAAAACATTAGAACAAGAAAAGAATACATTTTTACCATTTGCTCGTTAATAGATGAAGGGATATAGACAAAAAAGTGTTTTAATGTTCCAACTAACGAAAAACACCATGTAACCCTTAATGGATATGAAACTTCAGTTGATTACTTCAACGAGGTGCAAGATTTATCTAAAGATACAAGAATAAGCATTCGGTTGCTTGTTTCCTAAATGAAAGCAGTTTACAAAAAAAAAAATTGAAAGTAAAGAAAACTGGTAGTTTTAAATCTCAAATGTGATTTACAATGCAGTTGAAAATATCTGAGTAATAATGTACATACATACACATATATTACAATTTTATGGACTACCAATAAAATGATATAGTTTTTGCATAACTATGTCTATACGAAAGAAAAAAACAAAATTGTGCATGTCAAGCATGCTCTGCTTCAAATATCAAGGTCAACAATACCATCACAGCAAAGCACCTATTCACAAACTAGAAAAGAGCTTTAACCTTTACCATTGGATTAATCGTGATTGATTTTTCAAGGATCTTTCAAAAATTAAACGTTACGTTACGATAGGTGACAACCCATGTTGTCATCTATTTCTACATATTCATAATTGTTCAGCTAGTATCCAATTAACGTAATATGAAATAATAATTTCTTCAAAGTAATTATTTTAAGTAGCTTCAAAAGATCGAGTTACAAAGCTATAGAAAATATTATGTTTTCTTCGAAAAACGTTCAATAAAAAGATATTTGCACTCGTAAATGTTGACGAAAAGTTAAACAATATACCCAAATTTGCTCATGGATAAATAAAAGTATATATCTAAATTTGTCTTCAGGCAATATTTGGTTTATCCTGCAACTTATATTTTTCTTATTACATTAACAATATGTTTAAACAACTGCGATGCGTCATTGAGATATTGGACATACTCGATCTTATTATTGATAGATGAAATTCTGAGACATAAAATCACTATTTATGGGCTGCCAAATTTATACCTTTATACTCTGATTTATGTAGTTAGAAAACACAGCAAAAACATCATAATGCTTTGCGTAAAATAATTATAGAATCGCTTACTAAAAACTGTTGTCCAATTACTGACATATCACAATTTCAAAATTCTATTTATTGGACCAAATTCCAAAATTTTTTACAATTTACATGTTCGGCGTAAATAAAAGTTCATCACTGTGGGGTATGATTCAGTATTTTCAGTGCGCAATGCACATAAAATATTTCAGAAAATTCGAATTACAGTGAGTTGCAATTTTGTTCATGACGAAGAAAAGAAATATTTAGTTGTGTATAATATTGCAACTTTATGTCCAGTTAACAATAGTGTAATTTTTATTTATATAACATGTAATGTTTGTTATACAATATGTTTTAAATGAAATAATGTCTGATTTTGAAGTTACAATAATATTCGGTCACCTCGGAATGTAGTAACTTACGTGAACTATTAGTATTGTGGGAATGATAGATTATAATTATAGATATTTAAACGAGTGTTTAAACCGGAATGATAGACGTGCGAATGAAAAATGTTAGGACCAAAGAGATAGACGTGTGATAGGATTTTTCGTGTGAATGTTTAGCCTAGAGCGATAGTTGCGTGAACGAAGAATAATTGAGCTGGAGCAAGAGAGGTGTGAATGAAAAGTGTTTGGAACGAGAGCGTAAGAGTATCGAGTGAACGAAAAGTGCGTGATGACACAAAAACTTGGGAGGGCATGACCGAATGCGTTTTGAGAATATTCGCGTAGAGTGAAAGAACAAGAAAAATAGAGAAAGAGAGAATGAGCAGGTGAAAAAATGAAACAGAATGAATGAGACGCGGGGAAAGTAGTCAGAGAGAAAAGTTAGAGAGAGAGTATCGAGAGTTAAGAGTTAAAGTGCTGGAGCAATAAAGATAGAGTAAAAATATTGTAGTCATTATTGAGTCTTAACCCTCAGTTGGTATCGTTGGGTGTCTTACGACTCGCAACTGTTTCAGTTGTTAATTCTCTAGTTGCCAGTCAAATTCATAATCCCCGGTTCTCTGTATTCCCTCAGCATAAGGTACAGCTTCATGTGATACGTTAAAATGTTCTTTCCGTTTCAAATCCTGAGCGTTACTTACATTTTTGTTGCGTTTGGGTCATATTTGACCCCGCGATACCAGTTGTGTGTGTTATCTGAGAACTAAGTGATTCAGAATGTCGAAAGGTTCAACTGAAGCTGAATTAGCGGATATTGTTAACAATTTATCAGATGTAAGTAATGCTGAGGTACGTATTGAAAATCAATGTGATGATGATCTCAGTGACGTGAATACAAGAGAGAGGATATTTATTTATTTTTTTTTTAATGATTCACAAACCTTATAAAGCTTCATGCTTGTTTTCAATATTTGTTAACATCACCATGTCAGATTTTTTATACTACGCGAAAATGATTAAAATAGTTCATAAAAGTTTAGTTTACACCTCATTTATTTATTTGTTATATTGCTTTAGTCATCTAATCTTGTTATACCCACACTATTTTCTATATTAACATGTCCTGTTAATATTTCTATCTCGTATTACATTATTTTGTATAATTAATAATATAATAGAAGCGTAAAAAAGAAATCCATACTATCTCTTTTATGCACACGCCACACAACTATTAATAACATTTCAGACAACAATATTCATCACTATACGTACAAAACACGAGTGGGTCATTGATTGACCCTACGATACCAGTTACGTGACCGAAATGTTACCATACCAACTGAGGGTTAAATATATTTCGTCATTAATATAAATTTATTGAATACCTGTCTTCAACCTAACATTCCTACATTACGATACTTAATTCGAATGTAAGGTATGTTTATAAACATTGTAATCTGTGTATACAGTCTCAAGCCTCAGGAGATCAGTGGTGTTTCTATATTCGCTTATAATAACGTGACGTAAAAGTAATACTTCTTACAACAAACGCCAACTAGTGATTTTTCACCACGCAAAAAGAAAATCGTACAGAGAAAGTGCTGCCATGCTTAGTATAAGTAAAAGTACAATGGGAGACATTATTAAAAGATTTAAATGTGAAAATCGCGTAGAAGAATTTAAAATTGAAAACACGAATCCGACTACAAAGCACAGAGGTGGAAATTACTCGTACGGGGATGTATTTCAACATTTGGGACTGGTGAATTAGTTTTTATTCGTAGTATAATGGATAAGAATGTTTATCTCAATATTCTAAAAAATAATTTACTGAAAAGCGCAACAAAAATGGGAATTCAGACCACATTTAAGTATTATCAGGGCAACGATTCCAAACATAAAGCATGGATTGTGCAAGAATATTTACTCTATCATTACCCAAAGTTATTACAGCCACCCCCATAGTCTTCAGGCTTAAATCCTATCGAGAATTTATGGAATAAACTAGACTCCAATTTATGGAGAAAACTCCAATAATTTCTAAAGAAATTTTGAAACCACAACTGAAAGAAGAATGGAACGATATAAACACAGCATGTTTGGAAAAAATAATTGGCAACATACCCCAACATTTGAAAAAGGTCATTCGACAAGAAGGATACGCTGGAAAATAATAAATCAATCTTTGCTTGTGGACATTAATGCAAAAATTATCCATTTTCTAAAGATTGGAATATTCATAAAAAAGATAATATAGCAAGTATTATGAATTATATAAGTAATGTTTGTATTTTTGTTAACCAAACCGTATGTGAGAATGTAATACAGAAAGAATATTTTTTTATCCTCGTCGTGAATGAAATTGCAGTGCGACAAAGTAAAATTTGCATAGTATTCGAATACTACAGTTACTACCTGTACGTATCACTCAACTTTTATGATACATGATACTTCGTTGATTATTTTAAATACTATTGAACACTATCACTAAAAAGGTCTTATCATTGAATGTCATACTCGATGTTTCAAAAATTGCCTGTGCCACTTATATAACATTCGAAATTTCACATACGAAAAATTTTGCACTACCGAACAACGAAATGAAATTAAAAACGTAGTACACCTATGCATAGAACAGTCTAGTACTTTTAGATAAGTCATCGAATCGTTGAAATTGACACGCCAGTAATTGACCAGTATATCCGAAATGAGTGTTTTATGCGTCCCGGATGTACAAATCGTAAGTTACACAAATAAATTCCTCGGCCGATACAATGTGTATACAATTGCAGAGTATCGTTTATTCCTAGCAACTTTAACAGATCGTTTGTACAAACGAAAAATTGAATCGCCAACTAACTGTCAGTAGCCACAATGCGTATAATTAAATCGCATAATAGGCTCGTTACCTTTTGCTCGTGAGCCGCGCTACCAAAATCACGCAGGAATCACTGACTCGCGTACGCGAACACACCGGGGGAATCCCCGAGGATTTCTCTATACGTACATCGAGAGATTTCTAAAGCGATATTTACGTAGGTCGATATTGATCATTTAAAGAAGTGGGTCTCGCAGGAAGAAAGATGATAGCAAGATAGACAACCGGATAACTGTCCACGGAGGGCGCGTTCACACTGGAATCGATAACCACGAGAAGCAGCCACAGGAGGGGGCGGTCTACGATCATCACGATATACAACGTTTCGAACATTGTCGGTCGACACGGGAACCAGTCAATCCTCGTACTTATCGATTTGACGCGATCAAATTACGAAGGTTGATTCACGGTGAGAGGTGCACCAATCGACGACACCAATCTAGAAAGAGCAATCACTGACACCGTGTCGACCTCGTTTTTCGACTCACCTATTCGAATCGCCGGTGCAATTCCGTAGCGGACGATTATGAAACTCGTACGGCA